TATATTTTCTTTATTATTCATATCTACTTATACAAAATGATTAAGAAATAGAACTCGTACTCGTAATAATCATAATCCCAAATGACCCTCATGATTCACAAGATTATCCAAAAGTCAAACTTTATAACTGTTGAAAAAAAAAAGCTTCAAGCTAGAAGTTCATATAGAAAGAAGAAAATAAATTTTTATTGTACGTTCACCTAGCTATCTGAATAAGTATATAGTTTAAAACAAAAAGATGTTTTCGCTTTAGACGATTTAGGAGTATTGGTGAAGACATGCGAAAACGCTGCCATATAAATGGGAGGAAGCAACACGAGGGTCAATGGTTAAGGGCAAATAAGGGGTCCACCTAGTTCGTCGATGAAGCCATGGTAATAAATATAGATAGGTCCATATCTAGATATATGTGCAACACTTATATCTATATTTACTCCTTTAGTTTTAAAAAAAAATGCAATTAAAACATATGTTATTATATAAAATAATAATAATACGTGTTTTAGACATAACACGTATCAAGATCCTGTTAATGGATAACTTTGAAAACCAAGGTTTATATAATAAAATTCGTTGATTGGTAATCTAAGGAGGTGTAAAAGAGTTTAGAAATGAAACTTGCGAATAATTATACATATTTGTAACTAGTTTTTTAGAAAAGAAAAGTAAAAGAAAAAAAATTAATTTTAAAAGTGTCAAAAGAAAATATGGTATGTTCCAAATTTACTCTTTTCACGACTATATGTTCGTAATTTTCTAAAACTGAAACTATAATTTATAAAGCCTGACATTTATTAATTTTTACTTGAATCTCCTATATTTTTAAGGACTGATCATGTATACAAGTCCATTGGTTTGTAATCGATAAAATCTTCAGTTCAAAAAGTATATATTACAAAAAAACTATCTTACTTTCTTTTATAATTCTTCACTGCTCAAAGTTTGGTCTATAATTTTTTCACTCTTATTTTCAATGCATACTATAGCATAATATGACTAAAGATAGCATACTAAAAGAAAACACAAAAAAAACTATAACAAAAGACTTAGACATCTCTATTCTTTTATTAAATTAGCTTCCCACTATCCCATAAATAGTTCTAAAGCTTTGATATTTATGTTATCATTAAAATACTAATTAAACTTTGACATAATCTTTATATATATATATATATAATATATGGAGAATTTCAAAAATACCCCTTTTCATTTACCTCTTTTTAAAAATACACCATTTTCAAACTTTATAAAAAAACCCACTAAAAATGTTGAAATTTATCCAAATATGTGTGTAAACTTATAAATATATACACAAATTACCTTTATATGTGTATAAAATTTTATATACCTTTCATAAATAGCGTAAAAATAAATTATAAAAACCTTATAAAAACCGTATAAACCCTTTTAAAAATCTTTTAAAAACCTTATAAAACGATTTAAAACTATTTAAAATATTTGTATCGAATCTCCCAGTAGTAGTTATTATATAGAAGTACCTTATAAACTATATACAACTTTATAATTTTTTATATTTAAAAAGGGGTATTTTTGAAAATGGATAGATAAAGGGGGTATTTTTAAAAAGGGGTACACCAAAAGGGGTATTTCTCAAAAATTCTCTATAATATATGACAAGGTTTTTTCTAACATTTTCTTACAATGCGACTCTTGGCGTCCTATATTTGTGACACGTGTCATACTAAGAATTAATTTCTTTTCATTTTTATTTTAAACCATTAATTTTAAAAAGATTTATCAACATTAGTTTCAAATGTTAATATAATTATGAACCAACTAAAATAAAAATATTATGAAAAAATATTATAGTAAAATTATTATTTGAATAAAATATTATGAGTAAATTATTTGTATGAGTAAAATTATTATTATGAACAGAATCTTAAATAATAACTCAAGGTTTTTTCTAACATTGCCTTACAATGCGATACTTGGCGTCCATCTTTGGACACGTGTAATTCCAACCATTATTTTATTTTATGTTTATTTTAAACCATTAAATTTTAAATTTTATATCAACATTAGTTTCAAATAATCATAATTATGTACGAACTTAAATAAAAATATTATGAGTAAAATTATTATTTGAATAAATTATTATGAGTAAATTATTGTTATGAGTAAAATATTGTGAGTAAAATAATTATTATGTACCAACTAAAATAAAAGTCTTATATAATAACTCAAGGTTTTTTTGAACATTACCTCACAATGCGACACTTGGCGTCCTATATTTGTGACATGTGTCTTTCAAACCATTAATTTCTTTTCATTTTTATTTTGTTTTAACCATTATTTTGAAAATTTATATCAATATTATTTTCAAATAATCATAATTATGTGTCAACTAAAATAAAAATATTATGAATTTAATATTATATTTAATGTTATTATTATGAGTAAAATTATTATTTTGTACCAACTAAAATAAAATATTATGAGTAATATTATTATATGTTCAATTCATATCTTTTTGAATATATAATACTATTATTTTAATCATTCTCAGAACATTCGTTGAGAGATAAAATGTAACCTATGGGTTTTGTGATATTATGAGAACAAGAGAGCATCAACGAGAGTTAGTGATATCCGTTGTTAATATAGACAAGAGTATAAACGTACAGTTTTGAGAACAAAACTCTTCAACTTGGCCAAGCTAATTAAGTTTTGTTTCAATCTAGCTTGGCTCATATAAAGAATCTAACTTTTTTGAGAACATAACCAAAACTTATAGGGTTGCCGCATTATTCCATCCTCTACTTATCGCTTTCTCAGCATTCCACCCGAACTTTTCGACTCTTAAAGCAGCATCACAAAAAAGTTTATTCTACATATAACATCCTAAACTTTAGTTTTTATACAATTTCCTACGCCTCCAATTAAATCAGATAATCACGATCTTAAACCGATCAAACCAATAAAATCGCGTTTTAAACATCACGTTTAGGCTTACCCGATTACTAATCAGTACCCAACTCTAAACGACGCCGTTTGTGTTTTTTTTTCTTTTTCTTTTTTAACATCGACTAAATCGTTATCATCTAGATTTGTTCTTCAACAAAATTGTCAAAATTCCAGAAAACGATATGAGCTCTTCTGGTTCAAACTGTTATCATCGACAAGCTTCTCCTCCTGGTGTTCCAGTGAATTGCTGGTGTGGCGAAGATGTAACTATATTCACGTCGAAGACGAAAAAGAATCCATAACGGAGATTCTATCGTTGCTCAATTGCTTTGCAAGTACAATAGTAATTTTTAGTTGAATTGTGGGTTTGATTTGTTAATGGCTATGGCTATGCGAATCGGTTCATGGAATTGTTTTAATTTACTGTTTTTATCAAAATTTGTGATGTGTCAGAGGGAGAACGAAGAGCACTTGTTCAAATGGGTCGACGAAGCTATGTTGGAGGAAATAAGGATGGTCGATGGCAAGCTCAATAGAGTTGCTGAGGATGTGAGCGCTTTGAGGAAGCTAGTGGTGAATAACTTGGAGTTCCAAAAAAAAATATTTATGAAGATGGAGTTAGAGATGGTTAAGAAGATGAATGAGAAGATTATGTAGAAGAAACTTTTTTGTGATGCTGCTTTAAGAGTCGAAAAGTTCGGGTGGAATGCTGAGAAAGCGATAAGTAGAGGATGGAATAATGCGGCAACCCAAACTTATAATCAATCTTTGGTTCAATATAAAGATTTCAAATTCGATTAATCGTACGTTTCATATATGTTGTAAACTGAATATACGGTTTAGACTTTATGTACTAAAACGTGTAAGAAAATAGTTTAGTATTTTTCTTGTTCATAATCGTTATCGGAGAATTCGTTGATAGATAAAACGTAACGTATGGGTTTTGTGATATTATGAAAAGCATAAAGGAGAGTTTTGAGACCGAAACTCTTCAACTTGGCCAAGCTAAGTTTTGTTTTAATCTAGCTTGGCTCATATAAAGAATCTAATGTTCAAACTTTTGAAAAGTTACTATTGACGTATGTTGGAACTGGATAGATGACGACTTAATTAATAAGCATTTTATAGGATAATGCCACAGGGGAATAGTCCCATATGAAGTCGAAGGACAAGCTTAAGGGGCACTTTGATTTTTCAACTTGCCCTCACTAAACTCCAATTTTACTCCCATTGAGAATGATTTTTGATCTTCGTTTTTAATTCTTACAACATGATTTTATAGGGCCAAGAACGAGTTTATATGCTTTTTCAAGTCAAGTCTATTGGATTTGGAAAGACTCATAAAATTTTTGGTAGGCAGGATTTTTCAGCAAAAAGACTTCAAATCATCAAGTCAATGCAGCTTCATATGTTTGATTTTTTATATACATGCAACACTAATTTACCATCACTACTTCATATTACTCAATTAGATCGGCTCGTGGCAACAAGGATGAGAACTCCAGTTCTTCGGTTCTGTGGCAACCACGCAAATTTCCGAGTTTCGCGAGCTCGGAATCGGTGTTTCTTCATGCAGCTTGACCTTGTGCACTCATTGCTATCAGTAGCATTTTGAGTTGCAATGTTGTTTTTGAATTTTTCTGTAGGTGTTTTTATCTGTTTCTCGTTTTCCTCTGTAACTTCTGTCACAAATTTGAAAATTTGGTATAAAATTCAACCTTTTACCAAAAAAAAAATATGAAAACATTTTTATCTAATCAGAAAATGAGCTTCCTTCTTCGTTCTATCTCTTTCCTTTTCCTCCTTAATTAGTAATAAGCTAACTTTGTAATCATCAACACAAAAAGAAACTCAATTATTTTGTTTGGAATCTTTTTCAAACAAAACTCCTTAAGACACCTACCACGTGTCACTCATCCGTAAGCCAGTCGTCACCTTTTAAGTAACCGCCAGTTTACTTTAACAACCGGTCCCAAGTCAACTCGCGCCACTCATATCATTCTTTGCTTATGCAAAAACTCATATATGAATCACAGACGCAACAACCTAACCTAAGCTTTAACCTCTTATCTCTCTCTCTTTGTATTTGTTTTTATAGAAATGCTCAATATCGTGCCTTTTAAGGCAACTGTTGCTTTATCAGAATCATCACATCTCTTAGCTCAATAAAGATCTCTATTACACAACACTACACCAATCCTATGTTTCCTTATTTGTTCTTCTTTTTGTCCTTTTCTTTTACCAGAATTTCTTCCTTGATTCATGCTAAATCATTTTCCCAACATTCATTTCTTTGTTCTTATATGGAACAAGACAGCTAACAAAAGATATTATTAGTTCTATATAAACTTATACATACATAGAGATATCGAATTGTTTGTGTTCTTCATTCATTGGATATCAAGAAAATGGTTTGGTTTGTGAAGTTTCTTGTCTTTATTACATTACTTGTCTCTTCAACAATTGAATCAGCTCCTGAGTCTGCTCTTATTACAAAACTCCCTGGCTTCGATGGTTCTTTCCCTTCAAAACACTACTCCGGGTATTAAAAACTCTCTGTTCTTGAATTTTTTCAAGATTCTTGTTTTTCAAGATTCTTGTTTTTCAAGATTCTTGTTTTTGTGTATATATGTATAATCATTTTTTTTTTTGGATTTATATAAAGGTATGTGACAATAGATGAGAAACATGGGAAGAATCTATGGTATTACTTTGTTGAATCAGAGAAGAATCCTTCGAAAGATCCGGTTGTGTTATGGCTCAATGGTGGTCCAGGTTGTTCAAGCATGGATGGATTTGTGTATGAACATGGTCCTTTTAACTTCGAACTACCGAAGAAAAAAAACACTAGTCTCCCTCTCGTGCATCTTAATCCTTATAGTTGGTCTAAGGTGATTTAATAAAAGTAACAAAAATAACAAATCTTGGTTTTGTACTTATTGTAATGTTTTGTTTTTGATGTATGATTGGTTTGCTGTTCAGGTATCTAACATCATATACCTTGATTCTCCTGTTGGTGTGGGGTTCTCTTACTCAAACAACGAATCAGATTATGAAACTGGTGACACGAAAACCGCGGTTGACTCTCACGCGTTCCTCCTCAAAGTGAGTATACATCTTTAAAAATGTTTTAGTATCTTTGTGTGTGTTTCAGAGTCACTAAATGCTTCTTTCTTTTGAATGTGTCTTCACCAGTGGTTTGAACTGTTTCCTGAGTTTCAATCTAATCCGTTTTACATCTCCGGGGAATCTTACGCCGGAGTCTATGTTCCTACTCTTGCTTCAGAAGTTGTCAAAGGTAAATATATCTTCTCCTTTCATAATCTATGATGAATCTTGACAAGTTTTTTTTATACATTTTTTTGGTTTGGGTTGATGTTGCAGGGAACAAAAATGGGGTAAAGCCAGCTCTTAACCTCAAGGTAACGAGATTAACGACTCTATATCTCAGTTTATTGAGTTCTTGTTTTGAATTCAGACAGTGATTTGATGATCTGCTCTGGTTTTGGACAGGGTTATTTGGTTGGAAATGGAGTTGCGGATGCAATATTTGATGGGAATGCTCTTGTCCCATTTGCACATGGGATGGGACTAATCTCTAATGAACTCTTTGAGGTTTGTTTTAGTCACTTAGTGGATATAAGCTTACTCTTCCACTTTCTTTCTTCCTATATATCTAACAACATATCCAAAACAAAAACCGCAGAGCGCGACAAAAGCTTGCAATGGAAGTTTCTATGAAATCAATGGACCTGAGTGCGAGGCAAAATTGATAAAAGTTAATGAGGTATGTACAATACCAGATAATGTTTTGTAAGATGTTGTAATTTGATGGTTTCTTTAAAAATCTTGTTTTTATATGTCTAGGACGTTGACCAGTTAAACATATACAACATTCTTGAGCCTTGTTACCATGGAACATCGCTATCCGCTTTCGACATTAGATCGCTTCCTTCAAGTCTACTTCAGCTAGGCAAAACCGAAAAACGGTTAGCTATAAGAAAAAGAATGTTCGGTCGAGCGTGGCCAATTCGTGCACCTGTTCGTCCAGGCATTGTCCCTAGCTGGTCTCAACTTCTTGCGAACCTTCGTGTTCCTTGCATTGTAAGTAAACTGTAAGCATGTACCTCTCTGTTTCACTACTTGACTTGAGAGTTGAGATTATAAGCTGAAAGAAACAAAACGTTTATGTGCAGGATGATAGAGTTGCAACAGCTTGGTTGAACGATCCAGCGATTAGGAAAGCTATTCATGCTAAAGAGGTCTTAAACTCTGTTTGATTACTATTACTAAATATAATGAGACCAAATGATTGATGTGTTGAGAACATTTTACAGGAGAGCGAGATCGGAAAATGGGAACTCTGCACTGATAAACTCGCATTTTCACATGATGCAGGAAGCATGATCCCATTCCATAGAAACCTCACTTTAAGTGGATATAGAGCTCTTATTTACAGGTACTTAAACAAAAACATATAAAATGAATCTGAAGCCATAAGTTTAAGCCTTTAGTTTAGAGACTGATGAAATAAGTTTATTTTTCGAAGCGGGGATCACGATATGTGTGTTCCATTTACTGGCTCTCAAGCTTGGACAGAATCTCTTGGGTACAAGGTGACTGATGAATGGAGACCATGGATGTCAAACGACCAAGTCGCGGGGTAATCGTTCTTCGCCTAGTCGAAAACATTATCGTAATGTTTCTTTACAATAATGTATTCATATTCTTTTGCAGGTTTACTCAAGGATATGCAAACAATCTCACATTTTTAACCATCAAGGCAAGCATTGAATTCTCAACTCTAAATATGCATCTCATTTGCAAAACTGTTTGGTATACTCTTAATTCCTATCCTTATGGTGATTGCAGGGCGCAGGACATACCGTTCCAGAGTACAAACCGCGCGAGGCTTTAAACTTCTACAGCCGGTTTCTCGCAGGAAGCAAGATTTAATTAAGAGATCTGTGTTTATGAGTTTCATGTTGTGTTGTATTTAAAAGTGATCATATTGTATCTTCACTGATTTGAATAAAAACAGATATGTTCTTAAGCTCATTATTTATAAATAAACTTCATGTATAGTTTACTTACTAGCTTGAGCCAGGATTTAATAACTTCATTAATTTGCAAGTGTTCAATCTTATCAAAAATGAATCTGTTGTATTATCAAGATTGTTTCCATGTCTTAAAAAGCTGCTCTTCAGTGGCAGGAATAAAGACAAGTAGACAACTCATATAAAAAGACAGTTTAACAATTTCTTCATCATAATGCATTTGTGGTCCATTGCCACTAAAACCACTAAAACTGGTTTGATTCTTCATTCTAGACATTCCAATGGGAAAAAATTTGTCAGTCTTAGATCTTTATATAGTTCAATTCAATGGGAATAACATAAGGCAACGCGTAAACATAACAGCTTAGGAAAAGATATTTCTTAAGTTATTCCACTAACATAAGCTTAAATCCACCTTAGTTTAGTATTGCTTCATTGGCATAGGAGAATTGAAGCTTTGGCACTTTCATCTTAGAAAAGGCAGAGGAACTACAGAGTTTTGGTAGAGCAGTCTTCCCCTTGTAAGCTTTACAGACTAAGTCCACAAAATCAACAATACTCTGCCCAAAAACACAATCACTAAGTCTTCATCTTTTCAACAAATACACTAATCAGCCAAAGTTGTAAAGATGTTATGTATGTATACCTCGTAGAGTGGTTCGCCGTTGAGTGTCATCCATGGTACGTATTTATGCTCTGGTTTCAAACGCATGGTTTGGTTTGCATACCCAAGTATCAACTTTGCATATAGACCAACCAAATCAAAAATTAGAAATCATAGAGTAAAATGTATATATTATGATGTCTACATGACTTACCTCTTTAGAGAGATCACCATTGTAACAATCATTGATGGCTTTTTCACCTCCATACTTCTTAACACATGATTCCCAAGCATTTGTGTTAGTTTCAACGCATAGTATGAACCTATAATGCAATCTCTGAGTTTCCAAAACCAATCACATTAATATTTCATATTGATCATTTTTGTCATCAAAATAGACTAATCATTTTAATTAGTTAAATACCTGATTAGGCCAAGTTCTAATGGCACAAGCTTCAAGGGCGTTTAGTTTACATTCTTCTTCACCATGCTTTATAAATTATACCAAACATAAGCATTTTACAATATGATTAAGAGATAATTATATAAATAAGACTAATCAAGAAGTCAAGAGAAATTGACTAGTGGAACCTGACAAGTAACGGTAAGATCGTCCGAGACATGGGCGTTACCAAATGGAACAAGCTTGAGGTCGGTGATTGTGTGGAGATCAGTACTAAAGACTTTGCCTAAATAATGGACAATGAAGTTCTGACAAGAAGGACAAAGTGATTCGTAGTAAAGATTGAGCTTAACTTTGTCGGATTCTCCAGCCACGAGTTTGTCCGAGAATGTGAACAAGATGAGACAAGCAAAGAACACAAGCTTGGTTGAAGAAGAAGAAGAAGAAGAACAAGCCATTGTTCTGGTCCTTCTGGATGAGAGTTTGAGTTGAGTGCTCATGACTATTGTGTTGTGTGTGTCAGTGTATGTATTTATTTATAGATAAGATATTTTTGACTTTTGTGTCCCTACTCTCTAGTAACCACTAAATCAGTCTAGCAGTGGGGATCCAAGTCTAACATTTACAGTGGTAATATATTTATTATCGAATCAAAACTATTTACTTTATATTTTATACATACTATGTAGATAATCAAATTTCGCTCAAAAATGGTTAAAAAGAGTGGTAAAATATTTTAAAAGGATTTTTCATAAATAAGTAAATAGGTCTAGAGGTGGGAGTTCGGGTACACATTCGTGTTCGGATCGGATTTTCTTGTTTGGGATGTAAAGAAATAGGATACGTGCAAGTATATTTAGATTTTGGATGGGATTCGGGTAAACACTCATCGAATTTGGGTGTTTTCAAATTTTAAAAACCTTGGAAAAACAATTAATGATTAATAAGTTTCTAAATTACTAAAATTTATAAAAGATTAACATTTACATAATTTATTTTAAAACTTTTGGGCCGGCACTTCCCTCATAATGACAAAATTTATATTTTTTTTTCTTTGAGAGAATACATCTTTAGGAATAATAAAAATATAGTAAAAAAAATATTAGAGAAAATTGAAAATATAGGATTAATATCAAGTTTTTTTACGTTTTTGATTTGTTTTTTTTAAAATAATTATACATGAATAGGTACATTATATTATCATAGATTATGTATTCTAACATTTTTAGAACATGAGTAAACGTTAGAATATGTATTCTATTTTTCGTAGAATAAAGAGGAAAGTATAGAATATGTATTCTAAAATTTAGTAGAAATTATAATTCTAAATCATGTAGAACAAAAGTGTTTTTTTTTATATTTTGTATAACATGAAGACTGTGTAGAATACATAATCTAATTTTTATAGATTTCTAGATAAGGGCCCACGTAAAAACGCGGGTTAAAATTTATGTTTTCACGTATGAACTAAAATATTGCATGTGTTAAAATTTGGAAAATTATAGCATTAACAAAACAAATTAATCAATATTAATTGGATATATATTTTCTAATATAGATTAGGTCCCGCCTAGGGTTATTTATTTTCAAAATAAAACTAAAATTAAAATTTTATTATAAGAATGTTATATCCAAAGTATTCAAAAAAAATACACATAATTTTTGAAAAATTCCCTAAGATAGCATGATTTAATTTTTTCTTCCAAAAATACCACTATTTGTTTTTCCCTCAAAAATACCACAAAAGTTTTATTTTTCCAAAAATACCATAAACATAAAAATTTGAATTTTGAAGATGTAGATTTTTTTTTATGTTTGGGTTGACTATTTACATTTAGGGTATAGTTTTTAGGGGTAGGGTTTAGTGTTTAGGATTTACAAATTAGTTTTGAATACTAAAAGTTTAAGTTTTAGTTTTGTGGTATTTTTGGAAAAAATTGTATTTTAGTGGTAGTTTTGGAAAATAAACTTCATAATGGTATTTTTGGAAAAAAATACCCATTTTAGTGGTATTTAAGAGAATTCCCCATAATTGTTTAAGTTGGTAAATGTTTTTTTTGTTGAACAAAATTATTTATGTATCATACATATTTAAAATTTTTTATTAAATATTCAGGATAAAAATCTAGTAATGTTAAATTATCGATCACCAAAAAATTGTGGGCTATTCACCATTTTTCATAATATTACTATTACCAAATTTATCAAAAAAATTAATTTAGATATTATACCTTAAACATGATTATACCATTATCCTAAAAAAATATTATTTCCTAACTTCCAGTTTAAAAAAAAAACTATTCCGGCATATTTTTTTTACTTTGCAATTTATTGTATTTCTTAACATTAATTAATTATTACAAAATTTGATGGTAAATTTTGTACAAATTAACATAAATCCAAAACAAAATGAGTTATAATGTCGCTGAGATAAGCATTCAAAATTTTTATTGAAATATGAAAGTATACAAAATTACATATTTGAAAAAAAAAATATTTTAGAAATCATTATACTAAGAATTATATTGATTTTTAATCCTTATTTTAAGTTAATAATGTCTCTTTTTAGTTCCCTTTAATTCACATCTCTTGTTTTAGCCAATGAGATTGCATTATTATATATTACATTTAAATATAAATTAGTAAAAACATTTGATAAACACATTTATTTTGTTAAACCCATAAACTCGTTTAACTGTACCATCTAAATTTTAATTCTCTTTTATAAATTAAAACAGATAAATAACCTTGTATAAATTGTGTAATCTAAACTCTACTCCTTATTTATAAACCTAAATCGACATAAATCCTTTTTTAATTGTAAAATCTAAACTATAATCCTCTTTTATAAATCACGACAACCATAAAACATATTTAGTTGTAAAAACTAAACATTAATCCTTCTTTAAAAACTAAAACCGACATATAATCTCGTTTCATTGTAAATATTAAAGCCTAATTTCTTTGATAAATCCAAATCGACATAACTAAAAATTATGTTAATAATTTAATTATAAGTAAAAAAATCCTGAATATTTTAGTTTTCTATTTTATCTAATTTTTTACATAATTAAATGTGTCACTGTAACGCATGTGTTCTGGAAAATAATAGGAGACTAGATTGTGTATAAGAATTAGGGTGGAGTCGGTTTATTTCCGGTGGATTTCCTAAACTGGTCGATTTGTCAATTGAATCAAAGGAGGTTTAATTAATGTCGGTTTAGGTAAATCATGGTTTAATCAGATTAAACCAAAAACCCTAACTTTTATAAGAACGCTTCTTCTCTCTTTTGTTTTGTCGCTGTTGTTTCTGAGAGTTGAGTTGAGAAAAGGAGAAGGAGAAGTTCACTTGTGAGAAGGAGAGTGTTAGCTTTGCTTTGGTGTTTAAAGCAAGAGAAGCAGATTCGTCACGTCCTGGTAGAATAGAGTTACGACGTATCAAATCTTATCGAAAGTTTGGTGAGACGCGTTTTCTCTGTTGCGAACTGGAAACAGCGGAGTTTGTAAGTGCGATCGTGGTTTCATCGCTTCTCTGATCGGCACCAAATTTTGTGGGCAGCTTTGTGACGTCTGGATCTTGCTTTTCACCGTAGGGATTAAGAAGTTAACGGGCGTTGTTTGGCTGTTGCAGTCGCGAGGAGAGTCTTTCCTGGTTGTTTTTGTTATTCAAATCACCTTGTTAAGGTGAGTGCGTGACCATGAACTTATCTAAGCGATTTGGGATTGAGTGACTTGATTGTGATGATTTGTAGGTGAATTGGAAGTGTTATTGGATGTTTAGCTTGCTGAATGGTTTGTTTATGTTATATATGTGGGTGTTATCTCATAGCTTGTGTGTATAGCTCGTAGATGGGAGGATCGCTCTCACTGAGTATTTGTGATAATACTCACGCATCTCATTGTGTTTGTGGTGCAGGTAGAGTGTGATCCGTGGAATAATGGCTAGGAGAGGAGGATGATCTAGGGCCTCGGTTGTTATGTTTATGAATATGTTAATTGTTGTTGGAACCTGGTTTAGAGGCATGCTAGGTTGCTGGTGTAAATTGTGGTTATTGAATGATTGATTAATTAATATTATGATTAATTGATGTTGGTTTAATATGTTTCCGCTGTGCATGATGATTTATTGTTGGGTTAATTAGTAGGTATGAGACTATTAATTAATGAATTAAAAAAAAAAACGGGTCGGGTCTTTTCAGTCACATTACGGCATCTAATGTTTTACTTGACATATATCACAATCATGTGAGTTAGTAACTTTGAAAACCATGTTTTACATAATAAGAATTTTTGAATTAACATAAGAAAATCCATTATAATTAGCTGTACATTTATATGTATTACTTATGTAGATATTTTTTATGATAGGTTTATAATATATTTTAAATTTACACATATTGATATCTTATCGATACAATTTACCCATGTCACATTAATAACAAACTTATTTAGATTAACATATTAAATAAAAATATTTAAGTATTTAGATTAAAAATATTTACATAATATTTCCTATAATGCAAATATTTTTAAGGTTAACTTATAGTTGACTAACTTATTGTATTTTTTCGTTATTTGTTATTTTTTTTATTTCTTAGACCTAATTTTATAATTTTAGATAATAATATTATTTATAATTACTATCCTTTTTGGTTTAGGATTACTACTAAGTAACTGTTAAATTTCTGAATTTTTATTTTCTTCTTTCTATTATTTTTTTTTTAAAACTAATTTATATAATTTCTTACCACTAATTATCTGACATGTGTCAACATTTTATCAATTCAATTAATACGAGTCACGATCTTATTAATGACTAACTTTGAAAACCCAACTTCATATAATAAGATGTAGAATGTATAAAATACACATTCTAATTAGAGAAAATGTATTATATACATTATAGATCAAATTTTATTCATCCAAAACAACAATGAAATAAAATAATTTGTCATTATAAGTATCATCATGTATTCTTCATCATTTTTCTATGCATTTTAGTAGATTTTATTTGAAATTTTTGTTTAAATCTAATGTAAAGGTAATTTAAGAATAATTGATATTAATCATAGAATGCAGATATGGATAAATATTGAAATATTTAATATTTATCTTTTATTTTCAATTTACCCATTAGAAGTAGGTATTTATTCTATTAGTTAGATGTACCAAAAAAAAAAAAAAAAAAAAAAAAAAAAAACAGGAGGTTAGACTAAAATTAAAACATTACAACAAAGAGTCAAGTCCATGCTTAGTGGAGTCACACTGAACATTTTACAATCACTGACTCACAATAAGCTTATTTGGTTATGTAAAACAATTGTATCCATTTTTTTTTTTTTTGTACCTACTACTACTACTACTAATCACTACAAGTTAACTCAACATGCTAACGTATGTTGTCATTCGAAAAAGACTCGCCAAAGAGTACATAATAGCTCACATCTCAATATTTTACCTGATGTTTCATGTTTTGTGTTGTATTGAAAAAACTATCTTAATGAATCTTGATTGGTTATAGTAAGAAACATGTTTGTGAATGATTTGATTCTTCATTCTTCATTCTTCATCAATAAGGTCATGTAGTCTTCTTCTAATTGAATTTTCAACACACTCTGACTGAGATTTTGGTAATTATGTCGCGATCGAGCTTAATTTGATATCAACATTTGCATCTACGATGTAATTAAACTTGTTGTTGCATCACCATCAAGTTTTCTAATTCTTTGCTTGATTCCATTATAAAAAGAGACAAATGATATAACTTCACTTACTAATTAAGGGTACCTTGAATTAATAAGTTTAATGGCATCTCTTGGTAAGATATTCAAAAATTGGATTTATTTGTTTTCCTCTAAATTTTTTATGAAGCTGTCCTCCAACTAATAACTTGTAGAAATGGTCCTAATATAGATTAATTTTGGCTTTTTTCATTAAAAAAAGGAAACTAAATAAATCAGAAGATGCATGACCAATAAAAAAAGTCTTTTATTTATCATTCCACTTATAGCATAAAGCTACTGATCCATCTTAGCAACACTTAGTAATTTTTAGCTTCATCGACATAGGAGACTTGAAGCTTCGACACTTTCCTCTTAGACAAGGTAGATGAATTACATATTTTTGGGATAGCTTTTCCTTTGTATACTTTGCAAATTTGCTCGACCAAATTATCGTAATTCTGCATAACCCCAATAACACAAACAAATAACATTTTAAATCGGTTAAAAATGTTAAGAAAATATTGAAATAAAGAGTTACTAAAGAAGTTAAAGTTCTATATACGTCATAGAGTGGTTTGCCATTGAGTGTAACCCATGGTACGTATTCATGTTTTGGCTTCAAACTCATGGTTTGTTTTGCATACTCAAGTATGAGCTACAATTACAACAAAAAACAAGTATGAGTTATATCAAAATATATATATGTGTAAATTTTTGTATATATGATTATACAATAAACCTACCTTTTTAGAGAGATCACCATTGTAACAATCTTTGATGGCTTTCTCATATCTAGATCTTTTAACACATGTTTCCCACTTATTTGTATCCTTTTCAACGCATTGTATGAACTTGTAGTGCAGTTTCTACAATTTTGGAAATTAAAATTATAACACACACACATATATATATATATATATATACATAAAAAATAGTAATTAAATAAGTATATACCGGGTTAGGCCAAGTTCTTATAGCACAAGCTTCAAGAGCGTTTAGTTTGCATTCCTCTTCACCATGCTACACAAAAGAAATAAAAACAAGATTCCCAAGTTTAAGTAAAAACATTATACAAGTGATCTAATCATATATAAATAGGAAAAGATTAGTGAAAAATTATGAACCTGGCAAGTTATAGTCAGATTTGTGGAGACATGAGCGTTACCAAATGGAAAAAGCTTGAGATCGGTGATAGTGTAGAGATCGGTGTCAAAGATTTTACCAAGATCATTAACGATGAAGTTTTGACAATAGGGACAAAGTGATTCGTAGTAAAGATTAAGCTTCACTTTGTCATCAGATTCTTCAGCCGCGACGAGGTTGTTTGAGAATGTGAACATGAAGAGACAAGCTAAGAACAGAACAAACTTGGTTGAAGAAGAAGAAACCATTTCTTAAGACTTGGTTAAAAGTATTGTTATTGAAGAGTTTGAGTTTAGTGCTTAATGACTCTTGTGTTAAGATATATAGATATATTTTTTTACCTTTTTACCGTCTAGTAATATTATTTTTTAACTTGAGATCTCTTTTTTTGACCTTTGTATCCATGGTAACTTTGGTACCAATCTACTCATTTCCAGAGTGAGTTAGTAGTGTATAATAGACTAATTAATTAGTGTATAACATATTATATATTGAATATATTAGTTTATAAGATTCTTTTAGTTTTAATTTTTTTTTTATCAACGTTTATAAAATGTTTACTAAATGTATAAAAATATAATCACACCAGCTGTACAAGTTTCCTACTTTTGACGACCTGTCTGAATAGGTCTTAGATGCGTCTGTCTAATTACTAATACTTTATATAGTTTTGGGAATCCCAATCATTTTAATGTCAGTAAGCTAAAGTAGATGTCTAGTTAGAAAAAGTTAGAACCAAATAGAGAGGTCTAGGTCTAGTTGTATACTACATTATTTATGGCCACTAAACTAAAGTACTTTGAATATTAACAACAACAAAGATATTAACACAATAGTACAACGTTCCAGTTAATAATATAATTAGAGAATCATTGATCAAATACATTAGAGAGCAAATTAGTCATCTTTCAACTATTTGGTACGGTTTCGGATATATCTATTAAATTCCAAGTATTTTAAATAGAGAAGCTCAAAATCCATTCGATTATTTCAGATATTTTTTCAGGTTTGATTTGGTTTATGTTATTTTTTGTTCGGTTTCGCTTATTCGATATAGTGATTTTTATTTTAAATCGATTAAAAATCTAACAAAACTTGATTAAAATTTTAAAATATGTCTAAAACTTCTAAATATTTTGGTTATTTCAAATATTAATTATTTTAGTCCAAAAAAATTTGATTTTTACGGATTTATAATTGAGATTTTGGTTACCGGATTATATCAAAATCTAAATATAATTAATATTTTTGATATATAACTATGCGTTGGTATCTATTTGATTCTCGGTCCGTATCGGTTGTGTTCTGGTTCTTTTGGTTTTCAAGTTTGATTTCTAATTAGTTATTACATTGGTATTGGTTCGGTTCAGTTCTTAATTATCGGTTTGGTTTTAGTTTGGTACTTTAGATTAGGTTGTTTTGTCTTGGAGGACAAGAGCTGCAAAATCATATTAGGTAATATTATTATTTTCTATTCAAATGCGTGTCGGTGAAATTTTGTTTTTATGGACTGTGATACACTAATATATTTTTTTAAATAATACTTTAAACTCAAGTTGCACTGTTTTTGCTGGCAATAATTTAGTGGACCTGTACTACATGTTATCTAGCACCACATTAATACTAATAGCACAAATCTAGGCAACTACGTCTAGTTGAATGAGAGAGAGAGAGAGTTTTGTTAGAGAGACAATGGCTAGATCAACGGTGGTCATTGCGGCGGCTGTACTAGCTTTTCTTGCGGTGGTTCCGGTACCGGAAGTGACGGCAAAGAAATACTTAGTCGGTGACAAAAACTTCTGGAACCCAAACATTAACTATGCCACATGGGTTCAAGGCAAACATTTCTACCTCGGAGACTGGCTTTGTACGTTCTCTCTTCTTTCTCAGATCTGTAATAGTTTCAAGATCTTGTAATAGTTTCAAGATCTGGTTAGAACATACGACAACTTATGTGTTTTTGTTATTATTGGTGTCTTTGTGTTTCAGATTTCGTGTTCTATAGAGATCAACACAACATTCTTGAAGTGAGCAAGAGTGACTATGATAGATGTATCTCAAACCATCCACTAAGAAACTATACACGTGGAGCTGGGAGAGACATTGTGCCTCTCAATGAGACCAGAGCTTATTATCTACTTGATGGAAGAGGTGGTTGCTTTCATGGCATGAAGCTAAGTGTTACTGTTGAAGGTCCTCCTCCTCCTTCTCCTCCTCCTCCTCCAGCATCAATGTAAAACTATACTATGTATTTGTCTCTAAGCCTTGTTTTTTGGATTACAAAACCTTGATTTGGTATTAAGACAACTTGTTGTAATGCTATGTTACGTTTCCCGATATGATAATTAAAATTTTATTATAATATTTTTAGTTCGCTTCATGAACCAACTACAAATGTTGTCGGTGGCTAATTTTAATTACTCAAAAAAAATGAACTTGGGAATGCTAACGAACTGGATAGAGAAGTAGACCAAGAGAGTGGTTAGTAAATGATCTTTTCGGTTTAACTTAATAAGATGCAATAGAATTAGTGGTTTTGGACTTTTGGTTAAACCGGGGTGTTCGGGTCAAGTTGTTCGGTTTAAAGAAAATTCGGGATTTTAAAAAAATTCAACCAAATACATATCTGAAATAAAATTTGGTTCCGGTCGGTTCTGATGGCGGTTTGTTCGGGTCGGTTATTGACTAAATTTTATGTTCCGAAATTGAATATATAGTTGTTGTAATGCTATGTTACGTTTTCCAATGTTGTAATACTATGTTACATTTACCAATATTATAACTAAAATTTTATTACAATACTTTAGTTCCCTTCATGAACCAACTACAAAGGTTGTCGGTGGCTGACTTAATTTCTCAGACCGGATCGAGAAGTAAACAAAGAGAGAGTGCTTACTTAGTAAATGATATTATCGGTCTAACCTAATAATCCAAAGACAAGTAATTATTACTAAGATGCAATAAAATTAGTCGTCAGCTCGTCATGGGCGTTCGGCTAAACCGGGTTGTTCAAGTCGGGTTGTTCGGTTTAAGAAAACTTCGGTTTTCTAAAAATTTAACCAAATAGACCCGTAATAAAATTTGGTTTGGGTCGGTTGGGATGTTGGTTTGTTCGGGTCGATTATTGACTAAAATTTTATGTTCCGATATTGAATAAATAGTTGTTGGTTCTGGTTTGATGACATCGATTTAGCATTCATATTAGTTAGATATGGTCTTAAAGTTAATATCAGGCTTTACTAATTCCGAAGGTTCATGAACATGTAAAAAAATTCTAGAAAATAGCTCTTTATTTAATTATTTTTTCCACTGACATAAAGCTTAGTAGCTTTGGTAATTAATTGATGATCATAGCATCATTGACATAAGAGAACTGAAGCTCCGACGTTGTCTTCACAGTCTCAGACAAAACACTACCGGAACTACATTCTTTTGGAAGTGGAGCTTTTCCTTTGTACAATTTGCAGACTTGAGCCACCCAATCATTTAGCTTCTAAATTCCCAAATAAGCAAATAATATTAACACATATATCACAAAAAGACAAGTTTTAAAAATTGGTTATAAAAAAGTGTATAAAGAGTAACCTCATAGAGTGGTTTGCCATTGAGAGTAACCCATGGTACGAATTCATGTTTTGGCTTCAAACTCATGGTTTGTTTTGCGTTCTCAAGTATGAGCTGTGGTTATAACAACAAACAAACAACAATAAGTTATATTATAAGGTTTGGTAATTATGTTTTTTTAAAAAATTATTAGAATTATTATTGCAAACCTTTTTAGATAAATCACTGTTGTAACAATCATTCATGACTTCTTTCTGATCATCTCCAAAGCCTTGAAAACAATTTTGTTCGTAGTTTTTCGTATCGTTTTCGATGCATCGTATGAACTTGTATTGCGATTTCTGCGATTTCGATCCGAAACCATCACGTTTTTTTCATAGAAAAACTAAAAATATGTTTGTATAAATTCACAAAAAAAAAAAAAAAAAAATGCATACCGGGTTAGTCAAAATCTTAATACCGCAAGCTTCAAATGCATTAAGTTTGCATTCCTCTTCACCATGCTTCACAAAAACAACAACAAGTTTAGAAACATATACGTACAAGTAGTGTTAAGTAGTGACACAACACAAGAAGGGTTTAGAGATTGAAATGAACCTGGCAAATGACGGTCTTATTATCGGAGATTTCGGCGTTACCAAATGGAACAAGCTTCACATCAGTGATCGTGAAGAGATCAGAGTCAAAGACTTTGACAAGTTCATCTACGATGAACATCTGACAACCGGGACAAAGTGATTCATAGTAAAGATTGAGCTGAACTTTGTCGGATTGTCCAGTGACAAGGTTGTCTGAGAATGAGAACAGAACAAAGCAAGCTAAGAAGACAAGCTTAGTTATAGAGGAAGGAGAAACCATTGTTGAAAATATTTGTAATGTACTAAAGAGTGAGTTAGTGAGTTGAGTGTTGTTTCATGACTACGGCTTTTATAGACAAAGATATTTATATTTTTTTTTTACCATTTAGGTGGTTTTTTACTTTGGTAATATTTTTTAATTTGTACGGTTGCGCATGCAAGTCTAAAAATTTTAAGGGTCATAATTTATTCATCATTTATTAAATCAAAATTGATATAATTTTGTAAAGGTTCAAAATCAGTAAAAACATAGAAGCAAGCTAAGAAGACAAAGCAAGCTAAAAAGACAAAATTGATAGATTAGTATTTTTGCAAGGTTTTTGTACCACTTTTAATGGCCTTCACATATATTGCAAAAACATTTTAATTTATTTATTATAAAAAATTATGTTGGAGGGAAACATTGAGCCGAGATTATTATGTTGATACAAAATCAACTTCTTTACCACTATACTACTTCAATATATTAGTATTATCATGTAAACATATCGCATATATATATATTTGAAAACGGTTAATATTGTTATGCAATATACATAATAGAAGCAATTAGCAATCAAATGTTGTTTTAAAAAAAAAATTAACATTTATACATGAGTTATATGACATGACGAATTTGAATTGATATTATTAAAATATCGTACTTCAAAACGGGTTAATACTTCATTATATTATTTTTAACAACACCAATATAAGATATATCGAATTAAACTGATTTAATTAAGTTTAATATTATGCAATCTTAATAATTTTAAAAATAATTCTAGCATAATAGAAAATTCTGAATTAAAAATAAATAAATAAAAATTTACTCTTCGGTGTACAGTGGATTAAAATCTAGTTATTGGTAATATTGTAGTTCGTAACTACGAGATAATGTTTGCTGATTTGTTTTACAAAATAGCATAAATTTTGCCTTAAGTGCGAAATATAGTGTCACTTAAAAAAAACCATGAAATTATGAAGAAAATTCTCACACCAATTTAATCCATTCGAAGGTATGTTGTATAAACAAAATCTTCTATACTCATTTTTTCGTTGGAAATTTGAGTAATTTTTTTTAACCATATCTCTAGTGAATTTATTCAATATACAACGAGACTCCCATCACATATTTTCTATTATATGTACACAACACATGGTTGATATCATAATAAAGAGTCGATTGCATTGGTTTAGTGGAGTCATAATGAACATTTAAACCGTTTAATCTAACACACACTTAACTCACATATATAAGCTTATTTGGTTACTTTTATTGCTTACTAATCTAGATCCGTCATTACAAGTTAACTCAAAATGCAAATGTAGTGACGACATTTCTAGAGTGACTACTCTAGCTAGTCACAATTGTGTTAGGTAAAGACAAAATTCTTCACCTAGTTTATAAAATATGGCAGTGAATCATAATTCTTATTCGACAAAATGGTATATATAGCATTGTAATAAAGTGATCTTGAGGATAGTTAGAAGCTAGTCGTGCTTCTATACCTAACTAGCTAAGTTAGCTAGATCTTGATGCATGCATATTTCACAAATTGCAAAATTATATTTACACTTTAATAGTTTATGGAAAACAATTAATGACAATATGCGCAAGTGGGTGTTTATTTTTTTCCTCTTTGTATAATATCACCAAAACTAAGATTGAATCAATTCAATTTCTCTTATAAATTATTAGTTTGCTTTGCTAATTTTAAGTTCATATACTAAATTTAGGTAGCAAACTAAATTCTCAAAATTGAGATCAATAAAAGACGAATGATCGATTAGTTCTCACAAGCATTTTCCAACGGTTGGATTTAGCCAACATACTAGAGAACATATTTGACTACTTATATTTTTAAAATAAATGAATTAAAAAGTTTGTCGATGGAGAAATTAGCTAGCCGTTGAAAAATATGTAAGCATTAAAAATATAGTTTTGTAAGTTTGTGTATCTCTCATTGTATTATGTCGAGAACTAAAACATGAGTGGTGTTGTATAAATCTCTGTCTTGTTTCGAATATGAAGGTCCTATTTGATCCAACACTCTAGTAATTAAGATAATTATAACTTGAGCTATGATGAAATATAATTAGCCAACTTGTGAAGATAAACATGATTGATATTAGCATAAAGATAATTACTATGGAAGAAGCAAATGTGGATGTAGTAACCATGAAGAAGTATGAAAAATATCAGAATAAGAGAATGACTTAATTACTCGAGTAGCTCATAAAAGTATATTAATGACTCAAATAGCAAATCCAAATCTATTAACTAGAATAACACATAAACGGATAAGAGTTACAAAAAAATACCATTCACACTTATTAAAAATCTGTGTTTATTATCTTTGTACCACTTTGCTTTTTTAAAAAGGAGAGTTATTCTAATAGCTTAATTAGGGGTGTCAAAATTGATAACCCACTCAACTCAACTCATTACCTAATGAGTTTAAAGTTAAATGAGTAATGAGTTGACTCAACTCATTTGTTTAAATGATTTGAGTCAACCCATAAACTCATTTAATCTCATGGGTTTAGTGGTTAAATGTGACTCAATAATGATAATAGTTAATTAATCAACTATTTTTATAAATAAATAATTATGATCATAATATATCATCATTATATATTTTCATACCATCATTATCAATCATCATACCATCATCACCATCATGTGTTTTTGGCGGGAAAATTGCAAATTTACGTTTTTGGCAGAAAAATTACGAATTTACGTTTTTGGCGGGAAAATTGTGAATTTACGTTTTTGGCGTGAAAATTACGGGTTTACGTTTTTGGCGGGAAAATTACGGGTTTACGTATTTGGCGGGAAAATTGTGAGTTTACGTTTTTGGCGGAAAAATTGCGAGTTTATGTTTTTGGATGGAAAATTACGGGTTTACATTTTTGACGGGAAAATTGCAAATTTACGTTTTTCGCGGGAAAGTTGTGAATTTACATTTTTGGCGGGAAAATTGTGAGTTTACGTTTTTAGCGGGAAAATTACGGGTTTAACATTTTTGGCGGGAAATTGGGAATTTACGGTTTTGGTGGGAAATTTTTGAATTTACGATTTTAGCTTGAAAGTTGAGAATTTACGTTTTTGGGGGGGGGGGGAATTGTGTTTTTATAATTTTTGCTAAGATTATAGGGTAAAAAAATTTCAACTCATTAGAGTTCATGGGTTGAGTTGAGTTGAGTCAACCCATGAACCTTGACCCATTTTGACACCCCTAAGCTTAATATACAGTAATATTTACAAAAAGTTACTAAAATGGTAGACTAAGGTTATACAATATATTAATTATTTATAGAAAATGTAATTGCATTGCTATATAAACAAATAAACCGTCTTATAATTTTCACAAAAAAAATAATTTATTGAAAAATACCACTATTTTCTATTAGTAAAAGTTTTTCTTTTTTTCTTTGTGTTAAAAATATTATAATTTCTTATGAGATTGTCTCATTTTGATAAAGTAAACTACACATTAAACTATATAGGCTGTCTTTTATTTTCTATTATTTTATAGGCATATTTTGTTATCAGGTTAAGCTTTTCTAAGAAACTATATGTTTATATAACTCATAACATTTTTTTTGGTGAACTGACGGGAGATAGTGCCCTCCCTATGTTTTATTAGAAAAATTAAAAGTTTAAACGTTTCGTGGCTGAGGTGGACCAACAATATCCTCATTTAAAATCGACGCCAAATGAGGCGGTACAAAATTCAAATAATAAAAACCTAAAGGCAAGGAAAACGCATAGTTAACTAACCCGTCAGCAAGACGGTTAGCTTCCCTATACACATGCGAGATACGGACTATCCAGTCCCTAGTAAAAAAGCCATGGCACAGACGTACCAGGAAAGACAGCGGATGAGTATCACAAATCCCTGTCGTAAGAAAACTCACAACCATCTCTGAATCCACTTCGAACTCCAACCGTGTTACCCGCTTCTCCCAAGCAAGATGAAGACCATAGAACACTCCCCACAATTCCGCTAAGGGAGCAGTGCACTGTCCAATATTGCAAGCAAATCCCCCAAGCCAATCGCCTTGATCGTTCCGTAACACACCACCCGCCATTGCAACACCCGGGTTCCCTTTTGATCCTCCATCTGTATTGAGTTTCATCCACCCATCTGCCGGGGTTACCCATTTGATCATTTCATCCACCCAACCCGGTTTCAAGCTTATAGTACTCCGGCTAGCCATGGTCACTTCCCTCGCTAGATCTTTAATAACTCGGATTCGGTCTCTACAAAGCTTTGTCCCACCGAACACGTTCTCGCACCGCCATTCCCACTCCCACCAACAAGCAATGGCAAAGACTGTTGCCCAAGGGATCCCAAAGACAAGAGTTTTAACTGCCAAATTTTCATACATCCATTCGAATAAAGACTGAGCAAAAAAGACCTGTCTTCCGCTCCTAGGAACCAGCCGAATCCATATTCCCGCCATGGCTGGACAATCCCGGAGAACATGAAGGATCGTTTCAACACCACCATGAAAAATAGAGCAAACCCTGGAGTCGCTAACATGTCTTCGAAGTCTCTCGCTGTTAGTCATAATAACCTTTCGAGAGACTAGCCATAAGAACACACGAACCCTCTCCGGCGCCTTAACTTGCCATATACGCTTGTAAAAACCCTCCATGTTAGGCTTAAACATGCGATTCCGAGTGATACAATAATACGCCGCCTTAACACTGAATTTCCCGTCTGTTGTACTTCCCCAAGAGATCCTGTCTTTAGCCCCAGTCACGCTATCCACCACAATCGACATCAACTCAAGTCTTAGGGTTTCCGAGACATATGGCTCAAAGCGATTAAAATCCCATCCGCTCCCAACAGTCCACATATCTCGGACAGTTAATTGGGCCAAAGTTTCCGGAAGATTTTGCAGGCCCAACTCTTGAAGAGAAGCCGAACCTAACCATCGATCTGTCCAAAAATTTATCATCCGACCATCACCAACAACCCAACGGTACTCTCCCAAAATAACATCTCTGATCCCGCAAACAACACCCCGCCATAACACAGACCAA